ACAGGAATGAAGAGAATTAACGGTGGAACGCTAGGAAATGCACAGAGCTGTCACGCTCCCCCGTTCTGCAGCTGGATGCGGAGACTGATGGTCCTTGTCGTGACCTTCCCCCTTCCCTCCGTGTTCCATGTTCCCCTCGCCCCCTGGGGGCTCTGCCTAACTGAGTATCCAGTCTCCTGCGGTCCTGTCTGGTGGTCGCCAAGGTTTTCATGGACCTTCATTGTTGCACACCTGAGTCTAGGAGACCCATGTGTATGAGGCTCACCTTTTCCAGACATGGTCTTCCCACCCCTTATGGGACAGCAACCGGTTTTCCCTGGGAATAGGGGTCAGACCCCCCTCTAGGCTGTCGGCTCAGTCGGCATGAGGCACCCAGGATGGCCAGGAGGAACAATGACTCTGCCTTCACTGAGAGGCCCTGAGTGCAAGGCCCAGAGGCCATGCTCTCCCCTAAGGAATTAATGTTCCTGCCTGCTGGGGCCAAGACCCAGCAAGGGGAGACCCAGAATGGGGCCTGCTGCTTCTGGATGGGGACTGCATGGTGAGAGCATGGATCTATGGCCCAGCCCCTAACTAGTGCCTTCGCCTTACAAAGAGTTTCTTAGACACGAGGTCTTGTGGGACACCAAACAGTAAATAAGGCGTAACTCCAAGGATGACAGGCTGGCAGGAAAATCGAGGACAGGAAGGCACATTCGTATCCAGTGCAGATTATCCACTTGAGAACAAAGTCCCACCTCACCCATGTGGGGAGTGTCAACGCCTGCACCACCTCTGGTAACTGGGTGAAGTGTGGGGCCTGAGGGCTGTTGGTCCTCTGCGCCCTCGGGAACAGACCAAGAAAGACTGCCTAAGCCTGGGGGCGTCTGCTGGTGACCTGTGCACAGGGAACACCCTGAAGGGCTTCGACACTGGCCACCAATATCCTCACTCATGCTCAGTGCAAGGCCCAAGCGTGCACCTCTGTCTCCACAGCCGTTTCAATCTTCTTTGCAGTTCCTGACCGGCCAGCCACTCCTCAGCTCCTCCAAGGGTCCGTGTGGACCCCTCCCTGGGCTGACTTTTCTTGTACTCGATGGATACGCCCATGAGCCACCAGAAGTTCTGCTACGTGGCACCATTTCCCCCCACTACTGTCTCTCAGGGCCTTTTGGACGTGGGGCTGAAGTGGGCCCAGCAGCCGCTCCCGGCAAGGGTCTGTGCATCCCCAGAGCTGCCTGTGAACCAGAAAAGTCTGTCGCTGTGCCATCCAGGTCTTCCCACCGAACTTGGGAGCTCAGCCGCAGCCTGTGGGACACCAGACTTGTCCGCTGGGGTCCTGGGCTCTTGGTGGATTCTCTGTCCTGTGCTAACTCTGATTCTTGGTTTAACTTCTGGGCTCACAGTTTTGACCCTGACGGGGTTGAGGGCAGGCCGCCCTAAGATGTGCCACTCTGGTATGCAGACTATTTCGAGCTAAAGACAATAAAGGCTCGAAAGAGTCAGGAAGAGCATCCGACCTTCCCCGCCAAAGCCGCCTAAAAGACTTGAAGATAGAAGGCCTGTTCCGGGAAGGAGCTCATATCATGTGATAGCTATAGTGTGATGGAAAACAGGTGTGAGAAAAGGACACCAACAAACCCAGTTTTTGGGCCTAGCAAAACCTGTTTAACAAACATTTTCATTCCATCTCTATGTAAATTGTCTTCCTCACCTGTGAAGTCCCAGATCACTATGTCCTGCTTGTCTGTAGCTGAGGATACTTAAACAGGTGGACTCAGCCAGATGTCTGAGTTACTCAGTTTCTTCTGGGTTTCTCCCATGTACACATGCTATTAAATTTTGTTTGATTTTTCTCTTGCTAACCTGCCTCTTTGACTATTTGACCAGCCATAAGAAGCTTAAGGAAAAGTGGGGGGCGGAATTCTCCCACTTCCCTGACAACCCTGACGTGAAAATCAGTTGCCCTTTGTGTCTACAGTCAGTTTACAAGGAAGCATTCAAGAGCAATGCAGGTTTTAGTTTACTTTTCATGGAGAAATGAAAGAGGGTCTGCATTCCAGTAGCAGCACCACCACACTGTCGGGGCCTGAACGGTGGTGCAGTGAGCGCAGCCCGTGCCTCAGCTAGCTGGCCATTCCCTCCCTGCACGTCCACCGCCCCTTCCTGGTCTTGCTCCTCACTCCTCTTGCCTCCAGCTGTTCTCCTTTTTCTATTTTCCTCCTCTTTTTGCCTAAACATTGAGAAACAGCAGGCTCTTCCTTGGTCACGTGCCGAGTCACGTGCTAAGATGGTAAGGAACTAGAAACGGGAGGCAGGCCTCCCTCTCGCTCCGAGCACTCCTCACACACTGTCCCTACAGGGAGTCTGGGGCGTCGAGTGATTTCGAGGCACCAGTGCCAAGCGTCTGCGTCCCTCTTCTGTCTGTGTTACCCCACCCCGGTTATGTCACCCTCTTCTCCGCGATTCTACACCTGTGGCTTTCTCCCCGCTGTGACCGCTGCTGTCCTTCCAATTCATTGTCCACCTAATTTTCAGTCTTGGGCTCCAGAAGGACACAGGGAGGCCCTGAGTGTGGGATCTGTGCTAGTGTGCTGAATACAGAGACTCTTTTCTATGACTCCATCCTCCTAGGAGGGAACCCAGGGCCTGCTGTTGGCAGCCTCGAGCTTTTCCAGTCCCAGAAGGGCCACGGGCAGTGCAGCCACCAGGCACCTGCCTTGAGGCTGGGCACCAGCAGGTGGCAGCACAGGTCCTGCTCAGGCCCGGCTGTGGCGACGACGACACTTTTTCCCATGATGTTCTTTGCAACAAAATGACGTCCCATATACTCACCATTGTTGAATTGGGAGGCTTAGTCTATGACATTTAATTTTAGGTGGAGAAAAATTTTTTTCTGAACATTATGAAATGGCCAAATCTGTTATTTTTGACTCTTTCATAGATTGCCGTTAGAAAATCGTAATCATTTTAAAATGTGCTTGTGAAAAATCCATGATTGTGGATAATAAAAGCTTTACAGATAAAATCCACCAAATTTAACATCTCATCTTCGCTTCATATTTTCAATAATGTTCCTCCCCTCTCCCCCTGCCCAGTGCTCACAAAGGAGTTTGTAACTACATGGGTTACGATGCACGTCGCATACTGCTGGTCTCTGTCTTCTTGATCTGAGCCGGAGCCGCTCCAGGGCGTTGACCATGTCTCATCTGTCTGTTATTTTATATGTCTATGTACTGTCTGTGAAAATGTTTGTGACGTGAATGAATGTATGAATCTGTAACGACAGCTCATTTAGTAATTAGTGATGAAGATCTTCTGGAATTTTGCTTTGTGTACAGCCCCTAGGACTGCACATAATCAGATACAGTTTCTGTAAAACTTCTTTATGCTAATAGACAAAGACCTTCATGCAAAAGACTGGGGAGTCAAGGAGACACAGTTAGTTACTGTCTTCTTTTGGGAACGTTGAATCAATAAAGATACATTGTTAGTTGGAGAGATTTCTGTGTTTTTGCTTTATTCCTAAGCCAACAGGTGCTAGAAAATGGCAGAGTTTTCCAAAACATGTTTGCAAGGCCAAAACCTGTGCACCCACCACTGTATTGGGGGTGAAAGGATTATGTTCCTCCAGCCCCATGGGATTTCTACAGAATCTCTTAAAACCTTGTCTTGGCTGCTAATGATCACACAGTGCATGTGGGCTTTCATTTGGGATTTTGTTCACTCTTCTATTGATTGTGCTCTGTTGACTTCAAATAGATAAAATCCCTGGAGATGGTTGGGAAACATGCCGCCCTGACGTGGGGTGTAGGTATTTGCTGCGTTTCCACACAGGTCAGCAGTAGGAAGCTGAAGCCAGATGACCGAGTCTGTGGAGGGCCCGGCCCTGGGGATGGGCTCAAGCTCGGCGTGCCCTGGCTTGTCTGCCTGATCCCCCTTGGTTCCCAAACCCTGCCACGGGCTTCAAGAGTGGACTCCCAGGTGCATGAAAACGTGAGGCATGACCTGGAACAGCGTCTGGCACGTGGTGGACTCCAAGGAATCCTTGGTCCAGAACGTTCATCCCTGCTGTTTGCTAACAGGGCCCTAGGCCAGACTCGGGACCCCCGTCATTGCCGAGGAGATGGTGGCGAGGAGACAGGGAGGGGGTGGCTAACACCCAGTGCAGGAGGCTTCCCAGGAGGGACATGTTCTGAGCTGGGCCTTGAAGAATGAGGGGAAATTCTTCAGGTACATTGGGGTAGGAGGAGCAAGTTGCGTGTGCCCCCACAGCTGAGGACAAAAGTCACTAATAAATCTACGGAGCTGTGAGTTCCTACCACAGGGTGAAATGAGAGGTGTCACCTGGGGATGTCAGGAGATAAGAATACTACCCACGTCATGGCCTTGTGTTCTGGGAAGAGTGTCCTGGACCCAGTGGCATACAGATGACATTTACAGTCTTACAGGGACTTTCTGGCATTAAGAGCCTGTCTACCACACCTGGGGTCAGGGGCCTGGAGAGAGCAAACATCAGACTTGTGAAACTGTCTGGTATTAAGGAAATCGATGCTCTTGCCGACAGGTTGTAGCGATGTGACTCAAATTCACCAGCACCTCGGTTCCCGTGGAGGACACCTCACTGCACATCTGCTCTGGCTCCCTGTCAAGTGTTAGAAACAAATCGTGAAAACTACCCAGTCCACTGGGAACACAACCAAAAGGCATGTTTAGTGTGTAAATTCTGCCCTGTTCACACGACCGGGGACCAGGCAGCAGCGAAATAAGGGAGCCCGAGCTCCAAGCTTCAACACCGGTGAGCGTGCAGTTGCACCCTTGGGAAGACGAGGTTGCAGACGGCCGTGGGTGCGCAGAGCTCACAGCGTGGACTCGGCCGCCTGTCAACCGCTCACGCATGAGTACGAACACCGTGAGAGTGGGAGGGAAAGCACAAGGACACTAAACACTAGGGTGGGGTCGTCATAGCCTCTGGGGGGAAGAACGGCTGTGAAATTGGGGTGGAGGGATGTGGACCTTTAGATAGATATACTGGCGATTTTTGTTTCTGAGTTGAGTGAATGGCCACATTGACATTAATTGTATTTTCTCTTTTTGTACGTCTCAAATAAGTTCAAATGGTTTTGGTAGGGCGATGGTAATTTCATGTCACAGTCCTTTGCTTTCCTTATAAGAGTACCGAAAGCTTCTAATCGCAAATGTCTTTACAGGATACTGTCATCCAGCCCTGCTGCCAAAGACAAGTGTCCAAATGTGTTTGTGTGAAGGCAGAAAGTCCGTGTAGATCCTTGAGGCAAGGTGTGCATTTGCACGCAGATCGCAGTGCTCTACTGTCAGGATATTTAATCATTTCCACAAAATAATTTTAATAAAACAACCACAACAAACTGGGCACGGCACATCTTATCAGGCGTCCTGGAAGCAATACGAAATTTCGAGGAAGAATTTTCCCTACAAATAACGAATATGTGGTGTGTTACAACACAGTTTGTTTAAAGCCCCCTTTTCAACAGCAGCTTGCGCTTCTCTTTTAACTCCTTGAGGCGTTCCCTAATTGCCAACCTCCAACTTCCTTCAAGTTGTTTAAGGAGTGTGGATGCTAACAAGACTCCTTAGGAATCCTTCTTATGGCCACAGCATCTTGAGTGCTGAAGAAAATGTGTTCTCAATTAATGAGCTGATTTGTGTTTGGCGCTTAAAATTGGCAAAGTCAGTTGTTTATTAAAACAGAATGTGTACCTTAAGTTATTTTTGTTGTGAAATGTTGGATAAATCTATTACTTATTTTCTGTGTTGTGGGGGGACTGGAGCTAATTTTCCCTTGAACTTAGGAGAGGTTCATTTCTCTGGATTGCTGTGTTCGAAGCACTGGGTTTAGTTCCCAGCTATGATTTGACTTTGCATGTTTTTTATTTTGGCGTTAATGTTATAAGAGTCACTGAAATGAACGGCTGCATTGAGTGTAAACAACTCTGCAGTCCTATGGGAGAATTTCGTCTTTCGTTTTTGGCTGACGAGGGTGGTTTGCAGAGAAGTCCTGTTCGCCCTTCCCCCCACCCAGTGCGTTAGTGGCAGGACTTGCTGACCCCAGGGACGGTGGGGCTTGCACACACGTTGAGGCCCTTCCCCTCCCGCCCTGCAGCCCCAGCAGACTGCGCTGGTTGCACAGTGTCCTTTCCTCGTGATGTGAACTTAATTTTAGAATGCCAATGATTTTTCAAACAGCCTCTACTAATGATAAGCGCATCTGTGATGGCTAATTTTATGTGTCAGCTTGACTGGCCAAGGGTTGCCCGGAGAGCTGGTAAAGCCTTACTTGTGGGTGCATCCGTGCGGTGCTCCTGGAAGAGGTCAGCATCAGCCAGGACGGAGTGAAGAACTTGGTCTCTTCTCTTCTCCTCCATATGTAGGATCGGACGGGGAGAAAATGCAGCTCAATGAAAGGATGAATTCAGTCTTAATATGATACGGTGACCTGTTGTTTAAGGAACATTCTCTAAGTTTTTTTCCTTCCAGAAATACTTCTAAATTTTAGGGAGTTTCTCACCTGACCTGCACTGTGATTATTCCAATCACGTGTCAGACAGATACAGAGAAAACGAGGTTTGTCTGTGTTCGCACAACGAGTCATTTGGACCTAAGAAACTGACACAAAGACAGGCAAACTGCGCCCTGAGCTAGTGTCTTAGGTCCTATTTTCTCATCAACCTATTGAATCCTAAGTTCCCCTGTTACCAGGGTCACCTGGAATCCATCCATCAGTGGGATGGCTGAGATTTTAAAGAGACCCTATTGTGGACTGCTTCAACCTTTTGTGAGAAAATAAAAGTTTAGTAAGTTCAAAGCATTTACATTTACCCACGCATTTCCATGTAGATGAGAATGTCAAGTACTAATGCCCAGGGCACTATTTTTTTCCTCTGGTATTTGTTGGGTTTTTGCAGACGCTTGTGATGTTCAGATGGTAAAAGCATTTCAATGAGCTTAGGGATTATTTTCTTCGCATTTGGAAGTTTAACTGCCTCTTCTCTAAGGCATAAAGTAAGGTGATTTTCCTCCCAGAGGCCTGGCCACACCCACCCCAAAGGCTGGTAAAGGTCGTGAGGCAAGTGGAGGCTACTCAGGCTCCTGATGGCAAAGAATCCAGTGCTGGGGACGCAGCCCGGAGCCCACAGCCCTGACCTTCCTCGGGGTCCCGGCCCTGCCCCATGGGAGGTCAGTTAGGGCCCAGAAATCAGAACATCTTGAGCCATTTCACTATATTATTTGACAGTTTTCTTCTGACAGTAAGATAAATTCAGTGTTTGAAATAGTTTATTTTTTTCCTGTTATTATTCGATGTGTTGAAAAGAAAATGTAGACTTACAGTTGTTAGGTTTATAAGAAATGTCATTTTAGAAAGTAATTTTTTAACACTAGCGTTTACAAAAAAGAAAAAGAGGGAGAGGAAGTGTCAGCTGCTCCGCCCGCGTGGTGAGGGATCCCTTAACTCCAGCCAGCTCCATGTGCCTCTCCAGCACTTTAAAAGAAAAACATTTATTTAGCGTCTCACTTTCTATCATCAATTTAATCTTGGTCATTTGGGATTATTTACTGGATGAATTAACTATTTACTGTGTAAGTTACAGCTAACCCTGCCTACGTCTGTAAAGGAATTGAAATAGCTTAGGTTCCCGGGGCTGTTTTCCTTATTTGGTACAATTATCATCAGGCATCAGCACCCGGCCACAAGGACAGGCATCGGGGATGTCCCTCCCTTCACAGACGAGCTCTTCTGATTTTGTGCTCCTGCGTTCCTAAGAGAAAGCTTTAGCACAGTTTCAGGAAGCAGTTCAGAAGGCAGGTGCCTGAGCTTCCGGGGAGGCCGCACAAACTACACAGACTGGGCTGGGCGGCTCAAACAGAAACGTGTCGTCTCACCTCCTGGAGGCAGGGAGTCTGAGACCACGGGGTCGGCAGAGCTGGCTCCTCCTGAGCCTGAGGGGGGGCTGTTCCAGGCTCTCTCCCTGGCTGGTAGAGGCTGTCTTCCCCTGTGTCTCCTCATGTCCTCTTCCCTCTGTGCATGTCTCTGAGTCTCGATTTCCTCTTTTAGTAACGACACGGGTCATGTTGGATTAGGGCCCACCCTAATGACCTCATCTTGATTTGATTACTCTGTAAAGACCCATCTCCTAGTAAGGTCACATTCTGAGCTGCTGGCTTAGGACTTCAATTTTGAAGTGAATTTTGTCAAAATGAATTTTGGACAGACACAACTCAACCCATCACAGTCGTACTGATTTGCATCAGAAAAAAATTATGCCTTTGAGTTTCTCGCACACTAGTGCCCAAGACACACAGAACCTCCGTCTTGGAGGCCAGTGCTGGGCTCGCTGTGCACCTGCCTGACGGAGGACGGTGGACGTGAGGCCTGTTCTCTTCGTCGCCTTCCCAGCAGTCCTCCAGCCCTGTTGCAGTAACACTGCCAATGTTGATTAACCTACCAGTTATGTGAAGAAACATCGATCTACTAAGAAATCAGTGCATAATAACTTGCTTTTATTTCAGATCTGAGACTTGCTTCTTCTGATAATCCTGTACATGTAAATTAAAAATTCTTCTCCTCCATACAGACAAACCAGTGCTTTATGATTCTGAAACAGATTCCAAAGTCCCTAATGATAATCTCATGACAATCAGATGATGGTATTTACTGTCTACATATCGTTTTAATGACGTATTTCTATGAGAGTTTTGATTATCTAACAGCTGTTTAATTTCCTGTGAATCTGTTGATATATTAGTCAAGAAACTGGGAAAAGGATGGCTTCATGGTGGAACAGCTGGTCCACTAATTTAGGGTATTCAACATACTGACCACAATAGAAGTGGATCTTTTCTTTGACAACTGTCCTTCCCTTCCCAGCCTGACTGAGATTCCACTCACCTCTGCATCACCTGAGTCTCTCTCTCCCGTGAAGCTCTAGGCCTCCTGTTCAACTTGGAATGTCCTTGGGGGAGCTGATTGCTGAATTCTTAATTCAGTGGCATTTTCTCAATCTGTTGACTTCGCTGGCAGCTTCCCAGGCTCCCTGCCGTGTGCACTGGTCTCCGTGGGGACCATGGGGACCACCTGTTCTCTCCAGGCGGGCGGTGGGATCAATGCTGAGTTCTCTTGACTGCAGCCACACTTCCACCTCCAACGGCCAGAGGACAATGCACAGCTTGTGTGTTGGGAGGAGAAAGGGGTGTGGACCAGTCCCTTCCTACCCCCTTCCTCTTGGGCCCTGTGACCCCTCTGCCCAGCTCTGCCACACTGGGCGGGGAAGTCCCTCTACCCCTGGGAGCTGCTAGCAGTGGGCTGATGGACATGCAGTTGTTAGACCCACCAGGAAAGGTGGTATTTTGGCCTCTCTGTGTTACATTCTTCTTCTCATTTTTAAGTAATTCAGAGCCCAGACATAGAAGACAGGTATACATATTGATCTTTCTCAAACTCACAGCCTTTTGTGCATTGTCTGGACATATAAGGAAACATTTTTAGTGGAATGCGGGGAATTAAAATCATAAATGCCATGATCGTAACTTCTGGGGCCACCAGGCTGGGGACTCAGGCAGGACCGTGGAGTGGACTCGCTCTGGGTGAGGACTGCGAGGCAGGTGCTTCGACCGTGGCGGTTTGTGGACCTGGGCTCAGCCAGGTGGCTTTTGGCCTCTGCAGCCTGCGCGTGGCTCTACGTGGCTTCCACTGAGGCCAGGACTGGGGCAGGGGTGGCCAGATCAGAGAGGCCCATCAGGCACTTGGTTTTACACAAGCCTTAGAGGCATCGCTGCAGAGAACTGTCCGCTTTGACCTCGCAATGCGGCTCCAGCTGTGAGGGGAGTGTCTGCCCAGCACGCGGGCGGCCCCCATGCTGTTCTGCACGAAGGGCCAAGGAGAAAGCTGTGGAAGCCGGGAACTGTGTGCACTGGCCATCCAGAAGCACCTGCCTCACACCCGAGTCACACCGCCCCCTGAGGTTGCCACCAGTGTGACATGAACGGGGGAGAGCCTTCCCGGGGAAGGTTCCTCAGGCCTGACTAGCGATCAGCCGGCCCTCAGCTGCACCGTGCGGTTTCCTGGGGCTGCCAGGATAGAACACCAAAGACTGGGGGGCTTACCCAGCAGGAATTGATTCTTTCTCAGTTCTGGAGGCTGCAAGCTGAAATCCAGGTGTGGGCAGGGCAGTGCTCAGTCCCTCTGAGCTTCCAGGGGAGGGTCCTTCCTGCCTTTTCCAGCTCCTGCTGGAGGACAGAAACCCTGGGCCTTCCTTCATTGCAGCGGCATCACCTGGTCTCTGGCTCCGGTCGTGTGGTGTTCTCCTCCCTCTGCCTGTCTTCTCATGGGCCGCCAGTCACTGGATCAGGGGCCACCTTGCTCCAGTGTGACCGCGTCCTAACTGCATCGCATCTGCAGAGACCCTGTTTCCAACAGGGCCACATTCACAGGGACCAGGATCAGGACTTGAACACGTCTCTTTCCTGTTCACTGGGGCGCGGGGCGGTGGGGGGGGTGCACAATCGACCCACAACAGCTGTGTAACCAGAGACAGCTCGGCTCTAACTGAGGGGCCTTGTCGGGAAATGCTCGTCAGCCACGGCAGGTGGAAAGGAAGAGGCTCTGAGTACAATGGACAGGAGAGAGAGAGAAAGAGAAAGCAAGACACCTCACTAAGGTCTCAATTCTGTTCCCAGATTTCAGCATTGTCAGAAGCTGGGATTGCTTCTGTACAGGAGATAGCTGAATGAAGACCACGTTTTAGGTTACACAGCTCCCAGGTCTGCTGGAGACATTCTTACTGAAATAGCTGCAGGAAAATTAATTTTACAGTCTATGTTTTAGCGGTTCAGGAACAGTCTGTTACTGAAGCAGCAAACGACGCCCTCCTTAATCATTACACAGCATTAATAACAGCGATTCAGACCCTGCCTCACATTGCTCGTAATCTTTATGAAAAGCAGTTACCAAAACACAGAGTAACTTTTTTTAACCAGGGTGGCAAAAAGCATCTTTTCATTTTTACATTTATCCACTAATTATTTTTCCAGTTGTTCAGAGTGATAAACAAAAAAGTACGTTAGAAAGAGAGAGGAAATGGCAGTGAAAGGAAATAAAGGAAGAAACCTCAGTGAATTCCTGAGAAAAAAAAGGAGCATGACAAACTGTGAGAACCCACAGAGAGAGTCGCTGGGTTGGGGTCTGAGTTTTTTCAGGATCACCTGCAGAGAGAGCTGTGTGTTCTTTGTCTTCTCCCTCTTTTTTTGTCAAACACCTGGAGTGAAATCGTGAGGTCACAGGGTAGGTATATATTTAGTCTAAAAAAGCCCAGCTTTTTAAAACGGTTGAACCCTCTACACTGGCGGTGGCCATGTGTTCTAGTTCTGCATGTTCCGAATCCTCCCCACCGTGTGGCGTGTTCATTCCTGGTAGTTCTAGTCGTCCCTGTGGTTACAGTGACATCTCATTGTGATTGTCATTTTCATTTCCCCAATAACTAGTAAAATTGAGTTCTTTTTCATATGATTATTGACAATTTATATGTCTTCTTTTGTAAAGTGTCCATTTAAATATTTTTCCTATTTTTTAATTGGATTGTTTTTCTTTTTATGACTAGGATATAAGATTTTTAATATATATTTTGGATACCAGTCATTTGTTGATGTCTGTTTTGTGAAA